AGACACCAAATATGGAAGAGTTAGTGAAAGCAATTGCCTCTCCAGCAGATGGTAAAGCTCCTGGCGGTTATGGAATCCCTTCAGAAATCGGGAGAAAATGGTGGATTCAGGCTTACCAACAGACTGCTTAAAATGATCAGAAAAGCATGGGAAGAGGATTCTGTACCACAGGAATGGAAAGATGCTACCATCTTCACAATCTTTAAGAAAGGTGATTGAAAAGATTGTGGAAACTATCGAGGGATCTCACTTCTTTCCATAGCTGGCAAAGCATTTGCTAGGATCCTCCTGAACAGAATCACTACCTACATAACACCAGAAATGATACCGAAGACACAATGTGGCTTCCGCGCAAACTGAAGCACAGTGGACATGATCTTCTGTCTCCGCCAACTCCAGGAAAAATGCATTGAACAGGACAGGCCCCTCTATGTGGTCTTTGTGGATTTCACCAAGGCCTTCAATACTGTAAGCAGGACAGGGCTGTGGCAGCTGTTGAGAAAGTATGGATGCCCTGAGAAATTAACTGGGATGGTAGAGGCACTGCACACTGGAATGATGGCCAGAGTCAGAGAAACAAATGGGGAAAAGCAAGGGTGTGTGCTGGCGCCCACACTCTTCTCCATCTTCTTGTCGGCAATGCTGGAAGAGTGATCTTGATTTTGATCATGGAGTATTTATTCAGTCCCAACAAGATGCAGACCTCTTCAACATCTCGCACTTCAGAGCTAAGACCAAGTGGTCACAAATCCTCGTTCAAGAACTTCTATGATGACAGCGCTTTTGTCGCTCACACGCCAGAACACATTCAGCGTATCGTAGATGCTTTTTCCACTGCGTCAAAGAAATATGGCTTACAGATTAACATCAAGAAGACAGAAGTGTTATTCCAATCAAACTCTGTCCAGACGCAGGCAGAAAATGTCACAGTTGATGGCACTACCCTAAACATGGTAGAAAACTTTACCTATCTTGGTAGCACGATATCAACAGATGGACGTATCAACGCTGAGATACAGAAGAGGATGGCCAAGGCTGGCTCGGCTTTTGGATGACTGTACAAAAGAGTAATCACCATGTATCCACTAGAGTCAAATGTAAAACATACATGGCGATCGTTCTATCCACTCTTTTGTATGGTGCTGAAACATGGACGCTGTACAGAAGACATGTGAAGAAACTACACGCTTTTATGATGAAACACCTCAGATCAATAATGAAAATCACCTGGAAGGACATGGTAACAAACAGGGAGGTCCTCGAGCGAGCAGATCTGCCCTCTATGGAAGATCTCCTTATAAGAAAGAACCCCCGGTGGGCAGGACACCTGCTGAGAATGCCACATGAATGGCTACTGAAACAGATCCTCTACTCTCAACTCCCTGTTGGGGTGAGAAGACGAGGCTGCCCTCGCCTACGTTACAAGGATACTATCAAGAAGAATCTTGAACAGAGGAAAATTCCTGGTCATCCACCCAAAGAGCTTGCTGAAGAGCGGCTGTCAAATGATATGGAAGCAGTCTTTGTCGGTACGCCACTGACAGCATGATGATGATGATTGGGGGCATGCCGTATTGTGAATCGCTTGTATTGGCAACATTGCACAGAGAAATTGGCATAAATCATTTGGAGGGGAATCAAATTGGTGTATAAATCTTTGGAAAACTTTTTTTTTAGCTGCAAAAAAAATGGTTGTAATTTTTTTCTTAAAAAAAGAATTTAACCCCTCAAAAGTATGCAACAAAAACATTTGCAAAAACAAACTAAACAGCACTAACGTGACTGCAGACATTATGAGACTTTCCAAGAAAAAAAAAATACACTCTAGATTTCAACAATATGACACAAGAAATAATGTAGTCAGCATGCATATGTTTCCTGAAAAAGACCCAAAATGGGAATGTCCCGTGGAGCTTATCCCATTTGCCACACACTTTAACATTTCAACAACAATGGGGCTTTTTTATAGTTACTATCAGTGATATGTAAAGTAGGGTATGTCAACTAAGGATCAGAAAAACCCTTATCACTTCAAAGGTTGGTTTACCTTTTTGAAAAGCCTCCTTTAAACTCAAGGAGAATTTGCACATGGTGCTTCTGTAAACTTCATCCTATTGCTGTCTTCACCATGCAAACCTTCAAATCTTATCTCACATTTATCTGCAGCTTTAATTATAACCATTTAAAAAAAAAATTGTAAAAATTGTATTGGATTGCAGTGTTTGTAGTCGAATTGCTTGAGTCAAGTGTGAGTGTCTGAGTCATTTAGTTCTAGTCCTAGTCACAAGAAGTCATGAGTCATGTTTGAATCAACTCCAAGTCCAGCCATGACAGTTCAAATATCCATGTGCGTGTAAACTGCAAACAATGTACACAAAACCGAAGTGATACTCATATCTATCAGCACTTCTGCTTAAAGAAGTATTACACTCGATCCAGCAAAGGGGGATCGGATCCTGCAGTCGCAATAAAACCACAGGGAAGCTAACTGCAAATAAACTGTGCCGTGTTTACACTCGATTCCGATCTTGCTTCGATCCCCAATTTTACAAGAGAAGGAAGGTCATTGAGTGTACGCAGAAGATTTTTCACGCGTGAATCGGTGCAGAAACATATGATTGTTGTTCATTATTGCTATTGCAACTCTGTTGCTCTCATTGGTTGCCTACTGTTACGGTGAATCGAAAAGGCGGCTTTAGTTAGTATTTTAATCACGATGGTCCCCCGAATTTTGTCCTAATCTTCATCAGTCCTCCACCCATTGTCTACACTAGTCCTCGAATGACATCGCTGTACCGTGACGTAGAAGCCATGACCAAATGACAAAGTTCCTTTGCTTTTCAGAGCACTTGTTTATACACTATTTAGTGGTATTTAACTCCCCCCCCCAAAAAAAAATTCAACAATTTACTGGGAATATAAAAAGATCTAGCGAATCAAATCACGAATCTAAAACAACATACATGTGGCATAAACAGGAATAGATAAATTATCAGATTTGGGAACTTGTCGTGGTTAGCGATTTCATGATGATTGTGTATAGTTGCGGGCCCCGTTCTGGTCTTAGTAAAGAAAACATTAACCAGATATCCAGGCTATTGGGGTTACCCTACTAGTGGTCGATTAGGGTTTGAATTTAGGGAGTCTTTGGGGGTAAAATAGCGATGAAGACGACTAAAACGCAACACAAAAATAACTAGGCCCTAAACCGCATTGCTTCGCATGGCATCAACAGAAAAATGCATAAGAAAATTGCTTTTTCTACCCAAGGATAATGTTCAAAATTACAAAAAAAATAGGTTTCACAGAATTTAAAAAAAGACTACTTAAGGCCAAAAAAAAAAAGTCTCCGGTTTCTGGTATGGAGCTTGCCCCAAAAGTGGTGCGGCGACGCGGCTTTTTTTTTTTTTTACCTGTTTTTTTTTTTTTTGGGGCTTCAAATGTCGGCTGATGACTGCAAATGGTGCCCGACTGAACTTAGTGCAAATATATTGGAGTCCAGAGAGGCCACATAAAGCTTATTCTCGATCATAACCCCATCTAAAAACACGTTAAAATTGTGCAGCAGCAGGATTCCAGTCAAACCAGTGAGTTTGGCGGTTTTGAGACATCATCTTGTATTGAAAAAAAACCTTTTTCATTTTGCCGACGCGCATGGCTACGGCGACGAGCGCATACCAGAAACCGGAGACTTTTTTTTTTTGGCCTAAGGTTGCAGAAATCATTTTGGAATGACCTACACACTTTAAGGACTAAAACAAAAGATGCGCCTATCACTACACATTCTCCGGTTTGATGCACGTGGACGAAACACAGATTAATTCCAGCAAAGTACAGCCATGAATATTTACTGTGCACAGACCATCACAGCACACACCTCCCTGGTCGGTTCAATAAACAAACTTTTCACTGACTTTTTCTATGCTGACCCAGATAGTTGTGGCAAATTGCAGGGTCTAATCCACCAATTGAGTTTATACTCAGACATTGCAAGATCAGATCTGGATCTGATCTTTCCTGAAAGGGGTATCGAGAAAGGTGGATCTTTCCTGAAAGGGGTATCGAGAAAGGTGGATCAGATCCGGATCAGACGATCCAACCTCGTGGTTGCATCCTTCAATCCCCCTTGCAGGATCCAGTATAAACGGGGTGTGAGTGTAGCATAGGCTCGTGGGATGTTATTGATCACTGCCCATAAACTCAAGCTGAGCATCAAAAGCGAGCCTGGCCTGACCACATCACACCACAAAATGGGGACCCCATCAATCTTGAGTAGGCCCAAAAGTCATATTCCAAAATTAAGCTTATAATCATAATGTCCAATATTATAATTACATGTGTACAATCAAAAGAGCCATGTTCTTCCAGTGTTTCTTAATTCGATCTTCAGTGATCTTGGGATATAAAATGTAGCAAACTGGAACATTACGTAGATAACTCCACACAGTGCAATGTCTCTGTTATGTACACTGTTATATCACAAACATTTGGTCATTACAAACATTCATTTTGTGTCTTTGATCAGTTCAACCAAAAACACGGTTTTTATTTTAGAGTAGGCCGTTTCCCAGTCCCTACATTATCCAATTTGATAGGGGCAGAAACTTGTCTTCCCTTTTGTACAATATTTTATTAAATTATAACAATTTTTGTGTTGCAATAAATTGAAATTTTAAAAAGGCTGACTGCGCTGATTTTGTTCTAAATTTTTATTATAGCATTATGCTTGGTATTGTGGTCTGCTGTGAAAAACAATGCACATTTTGAGTGTTCCTTGTTTCCACATTATCACTTCTGAAAAGGGCAGATACCTATCTACCCTTTTGTAGAATGTTTTATTAAAAAGTGAACAACATTTGTGTTGCTGCAAATAAAAAAAAAAAATTGTAATCACTGTGCTGATAGGAGGTTACAAAGGTACAAATACAAAGGTAGAGGTTATTAAAATTGACATTTGACTAACATGCAGCAAATAATGATCTTCATTATTGTATTTATAGCATGACACTTACTGAGACTGAGAGGGGTTACCCCCCACCCATTGAACATGTTGGTCAGCCAGCAGCTGTTAAAATGGAAATGGGTAAGTTTGAACATGTGATGATTAGGGTTTTGTATTTGAATAGTAATACACCCAGCCAATTTAAAAGGTGTTTGAAATGAATTTTTCTTGGGAATATATTTTGTGCAACTGTCTACTCTTAAAGGTATGAAAACTATTTGACATCCCTATTCGGTGTAATACTTTTATTGAAAAGTGCACATCTTTAAACATTTAAGATTGTCCATGATTTCCGGAGGGCGCATTTGCTATGATGTCATTTCAGAAAAACACTCTTCAGTTCAGGGGTTTTCAATTTGTGAACCCCAAAAATGGTTCATTAACCCTAACTCCCTAGCATGATTTACTAAGAACCATACCCATCCTGGCAAATTTCAACACCATATGGGAAACTGTGCACACACATTTCTGACTTAGTTTCTGGAGGTGTGCCAACCCAATGTAAAAGACTGTCAGTTTAGGGGTACTGTACCCATCCAGACAGATTCCAACAATTGTACATACTGTTGGGGCTTGATGGGTTGAGTTCTGTTAGGGTTAAAACACCTGGGAGAAGAGTTTGCTCACTGGCTTACCGCCATGTACAGATGAATCACCACAGAAAAGACAATTTAGGACAGGAAAATATCAAAAATTCTGGCAACTTTTTGTGCTGAAATACAGGTAGTGTAAACATTTGAGGTTTCTGCCTGATATATATGACTCATAGCTTTGCGTGGCGGATGAGATAAATTATAAGGTTTGCGGGTAACACCTAGTCTGAGTATCACCCGTTATCCATGGGCCAAGTCTCCTGCATAACGTCTGATACGTCAAAGCATTGCAGATTTGTGCAATCTCGCACTTCAGCCAATCGGAGTTGACTTTACTAAATTGTGATGTTATTTCATTCCCAAATCAGGACTTAAACTGTGATTGGTCAACTCGCGCGAATCCAGTGTTTCCAGTGAATCGCGTACGTGTCGCATAACATAATAGTGTGTGACCAAAGCCTTTGTTGCTGTGTCTAGCGGGGTTATTTTTATCCATGTCTAGAAGCGACAAAGGTGAATGATCGAAGACTCGACATAGAAAGCGCCCACTGATTGGTAAAAATCTAGAGGTCAAGATGCCGTTGTCTTGACTAATTAATCAGCAAATCAGTTCATATGTAATAGACCGTGGCTTTCCCCACGGTCAATTACATAGACTAGGTAACACAATGTGGAAAGAAATCTCTTCTTGGAAGAAGTATTGTTCAGAAAAGAATCGATAAGTTACGGACAGTGTGCTCTGTCCGTCCTCAGGCCCAACCTCCTGACCAACCAGTTCTTTTCAGCACCACACTTCTTCCAAGAAGAGATTTCTTTCCGCATGGTGTTACCCGCAAACTTTATAATTTCTGTTTCTGCCTGAAATGACATCACTCTTTTGCTTATTAATATGATGATGTCATCAAGACATCACTTCAGGGGGGGGGGGGCATGAAACCTTGTCACCCCCCCCCCCCCAGTCGCCCCCCACTGAGATTTTGAGTTTCTAAAAAAATTATCATTGATCTACATGAAGCCCCCCCCCCCCCCCCATGAAATGTACCAGCCCCCCCAGCTACGCCACTGCTATTTTCTGACGTAAATGTAATACCGGTAATGCATGAGATAGAGGAAATGGATGTACCAGTTGCAGATTCATTTTTTAATTGAATTGAGCTCACTTTCACAACAAAACGAGAGCCACAAGATTGGTCAATAGGCTTTATTCACTGGTCAGCCATATTAAATTGAAAGCGAGGTAAACTCTTCATTTTTATCCTCTTGGCTGTAAGCTGGAGGGGGATATTGCGATAGCATATACATGTACATTCCTTCTTTGTGTATATGTGTACCAACCTTGCCATCTTTGTTTGGACCTAACAGCAACAGGTCCACATAATGCAGGTTGTGTTAACGTTATGTGGACTAAGCCAGGTCCAAATGAGGTTTCGCCCTCTCTGGAAAACAGGTTTAGAGGCATTTTTGGGTTAGGGTCATTTGTTGCAAAATGAAGAGGAACACCCAAAGAAATCAGGATAAATATTTGGGTTGAGAGAGTTTACAAAGTGTGAGTAAAATATTTTTTTCCTCCGGTTTTCCTTTAACTGTGCGAAAACAAGGGAATGTTATGGCTACCGGGAACAAAGGGCAACATTAGGGACAATGGTACCCTGCAAGTACGGTCTCTAGAAATTAAGGTACATGTACCCCATAGCCCTAACGCTATGTACATTGTATTTTGAGATTTCTAAGGGAACAAAGGAGAATAGAATAAGGGAGTCAGGGTCAAACAAAAGTGGTACCCCATAAACCCAAAATGCTATTAGTGTGCATTTGTTTATGGTGTAAATCAAGGACACACACGTGCAACATCATTGGTGAATCTACCCCTACCCCTTCCCCCTACCCCCTCCCCCTCCTCGAATCACTGTTCTGCCTACCAGTATCAACTCATGATGATACCTGCTTTGCATCCTCTCATCCAGCATAGATGCCCTGCCACACCTCTTGACAATCAGCCATGCTGCATTTCCCACTTCACTTAATACTGCCAAGGATCCTGTCTGCTGCAAGCCACTACAAAAGTGTCCCCCAGCATTGTGATCCCTCTACACCGGCAGGAGTTCAGTCTGTGTTTTACACACTCTCCATGCCCCATGACCACTAGTTTCACTGAATTCAGCGGCTAAAGCCCCACAACACAATATTGCTACTGTCCCTGCATTTTTCAGGGTGCAGTCTTTGGAGCCTAAAATAGTAGCACACTTAGGTCAGCCCAACATCGGAATTGAGTCAAATTTAGTCCTTCCACAACATCAGCGGTACGTCGACAAAAAACATATTTTCCCGCCCACGTTGGTTCGACTTCGTTAAACAGGGAATATGCAAATCCTGCCTGCGTCGGCTGAACGTCGGGCATCCGCTGTTGGCTGGATAGTGGACCGGCATTGCACCAACCTCACCATTAAAACTGTGGCCCGACATTGATACGATGTTCAGCAGACATCACATTACCGTCCTGCCGACAGAGGCCCTACTTATAACCGACGTTGTCATACCAACCACAAAACGACTTTCTAACGACGTACTGACATGACAGTGGCCGGACGTCGGTAAACGGGGCATATGCAAATCCCGCATCGGCTCAACATCAGCATCCGCTGTTGGTTGGATATTATTGGACCAATATTGCACCAACCCCACCTTTCACACTGAGACCCGACATCAATACTATGTTTAGCCGACTTCACATTTACATTTTCCTGCCAACAATGGCCCTACCTATAACTGATGTCGTCGTACCAACGTCAAAACGCTTTCAAAATCACGACTTTGTATGGACGTGCAGATCAGCAAACAAACTACGTCGGCACAGTGTATTATAAAGACACACTATCCAACTTCCCCCCGACCTCGTTCCGACTTATTTAGCCCATTTACCAACTTCCAAAATCCATTGGCTCTACATTAATGAGACCCCTTCCCACCTTTCCTCCAACACATCCTGCCGACGTTGGCAGGATACCTTAGTTATGATGTCGAATGGACGTCACAACACTGACGTAGGTAGGCCACCTGCTAAAAGGCACAACGGCAAGACTCGCTATGACCAACGTCGGCAAGACATTTTAAAACCGACATTTGCTGAAAGACAAAGACAGATAAACATTTCTGGTGACTTCCTCGTCTAACATCAGTTTTTACACAAAATATTAAATGAACAATTTAACTAGAGCTGTATGTCTGTTTGAAAACAGAACACAGGGCTTTTTCGCATTTTATAAATGCTATGTTTGTCCTTTGCAGTCACTTTTTAGAGTGTTTAATACAGTTGAAGGTTGTTCACAAGGCTTAGAATAATTTTAAAAATAAAGCTTTATCACATGACGTCACATGCCCTGCGATGACGTCATCTTGAAAACCCTTCTCCATCCACATTTTATCATTGTGGTCTTGGTTTAAACCAAGTATACAGTCAATCCGATGAAAGGAAGTGTGCAATTTTGGAAGCAGAATAAAATTATAAATATTAAAAAAATCATAAAAAAATCTACCGATGACGTCATCGTGACGTCACTTCGGACTTTGCATACTAGTACCTTTATCTACCTACCCACCAAGTTTCATGACGATCGGATGTTTCCTTATATGTGTTTTGAAAAATCACATTTTTGATGACGTCATGATGACGTCATACACTTTTCAAAATCATGTGCAAATACCTATTACCTAACGAACCAAATACCAAAAGAGTTTTGAATTTTTCATGTTGCATTCGTGAGATATGGCTTCAAGGTCCAAAAATTCAAATATTCACATTAAATCGCATGATGACATCATCACGACGTCACCTCATTTTTTACCTACAACAGATCCCGGTCTACCCGCATACCAAGTTTCAACCCGATGAAAGGAAGTGTGCAATTTTTGAAGCAGAATAAAATTATAAATATTTTAAAAAATCATAAAAAAATCAAACGATGACTTCATCGTGACGTCACTTCGGACTTTGCATACTAGTACCATTATCTACCTACCCACCAAGTTTCATGACGAACGGACATTTCCTTATATGTGTTTTGAAAAATCACATTTTGATGACGTCATGATGACGTCACACATTTTTCAACATTTTGTGCAATTACCTATTACCTAACAAACCGAATACAAGAAGAATTTTGAATTTTGCATTTTGCGTTCTTGAGAAATGGTTAAAAGGTCCAAAAATTCAAATATTCATATAAAATCGCATGATGACGTCATCATGACGTCACCTCATTTTGTTTTATACCTATAACACATCCCAGTCTACCCACATACCAAGTTTCAACCCAATCGGACTTACAGTTCTGTAGATGTGATGACGTCAGGTGACTGCTGATGACGTAATCATGATGTCACTCTTCGGGACACAACTTTGCCATAAGGATAATGCATATGCTTAATTTGAATGATGTATGACAAAGATGCCAAAAAAGGCGTGTACTAAAATCGTGTACAAAGTCTATGGGATTTTGCATGGAACAAAAAGAAGAAAGTAGGGAGAAAAAAAAAATCATAACAAAAACAAAGGCTTTTTCGCAAATTTGCGAAAAAGCCAAAAATGTAACTGGTTGCACAAAACAAATACACAAATCTACACAAATGAAGCTATCCTGGTTAATCTGACATTTACACACAAAAAACTTATGAAACTGAATACATTTATAGAATACTGAAATGTAAAAGAAAATGCAGTTCACGCCAAAAGTCTTATGTAACGGTATCTTCTCTTCAGCTGTATTGTTGGACTCTCTTCCCATCTGGTATCATGCACTGAGGTTGGTCTTCATTACAGCATCTATTGTCAGACCATAACGCTGTACTCTTGAGAAAAGAGGAAAGGCCATGGTATGCGGGCTGCAAGGTACTGTAAGAAATGAATCTTGGGGAATGGGCTGTTTCCTGTAGGGAAATATTGCAAATGTAGTAATGCTCTACGGATAAGTTCTCACTAGCAGAATTAGTTCACACTACTGAAGGAGAGAAATGATATGCATTGTCCTGTATTTAGAAACTGATTGCTTTATCTCTCCTTTAGGAGCTAAGTTGGATTCCTCGAGACCAGGAACTCCTGTAAGTTATCCTTGGCACCAGTCTAAGTATCTAAAGGAGCGGAGACAGCAGCTTAACAAAGTCATGCAGAATTTAGATCCATACATACCTGTAAGTTTTTTTTTTTTGACACAGCTCAAACCTGATGCTTGAGTTTAGCCCATCGAGTTGGCCGGGGTTTCAGAAATTAAAGATTTTAGAATGGGACTACTTCTTTTGAGAAATATTTTTATCACTCTATTTATCTTATTTTTTTTTAGTTGGGTTCCTTGTTGTGTCATGAATTGTCTCAATAAGAAAATCTACTTGACAGGGTATATGGAACTCAAATTGCATGGGGAGAGAGCCTTTGATATTATTGTGTTGACTACTTTCCCTCTCTAGGTTGACCTTATATCAACTCTAGAGCCATACAAATCATGCTGAGGTCATGTCTACTATGTCTTCAAAGTAACGCTATGTATTTTTTAAAGCACTATCGAAGGAATGATACAATAATAATTGTTATTCAACAAGAAATTGATTGATTTTTAAATCTGCCATGTTTTGCAACCCTCTGTCCGATTTTGTTCCCAATTTCCTGACACCACCTTGCTTGACTTCTGGACCAAATTTTATTATCCTTGAATTATGCACCGGATGTCCATAACAGATTTCATTACAGTAATTGTACCCTGAGTGAAAACAATTTGAAGCTCTTTAAAAAAAAATAACAGGAAAGGTTGCAGTCGCAATGCTAAAAATCGTACTACATGTATATTATGCATAATACGGACTGCTGTCTTGATGGTGTCATTTGGTGTGCTCCTAGGATTCTTGGTAATTCCAATTTGTGCTCTAGTCAGGGTTCACACTTCCCGAAAAAATACCTAAATTACTGGGTGCGTGTAGTTCGTTGCCGCCACTTACTTTGAAATTTAGGGTCAATCTGCTTGCCTATTATGCATGTGTACTCATTTGTTGAATCAATCTATTTTGTCTTTTTGTATTTCTAACTTATTAGGAGCTGAACAAGTTGCAGATTATCGGAAGAAGCAATCCTTATGAGTTGCAAATGGATAAGCCATCCTGTGAAAATAAGATTCCAGAGACAACGGGCTTAAATCCAGATGTGTAAGCTTCTTGTGTTCTAAATCTTTCAATGTTTATTGACAAAAATGGCAAACGTTTGCCATGTTGGGAGGTTTGTTCAAAACGTGTGAAGCAATTGCTTCTTTGACGTGTTTGAATTAACGCATATCATACAACATTTTACAAAATCTCAAATCTTACTCAGTTGTAATGTAATTGGGAACCTGAATTTGCAAATGTAGGACGCCACAGCAATTGGTACTGCAAATTTAGTAAGTACAGGTAGAACACATTTTAGCAGTAAATATAAATGTAAATGTATTGTGATGTCACATTCTTTTCAAATTTGCATTAACATTAAGAAAGAATTTGGCTTAAAAATAAAACCTACATAAACCATGACTTGAACCCGCTATCTGTGTTCTTATTATCACAAGTCTTGACTTGTGCTCTCAAATGTTCTGAGATTGCACTGGTTGCTATGTACCTAGTTTTCAAAAACACAGTTCATACCTGTGCATTATGTGAATATATAAAGCTTATCCCATTTAGATGTTATAAGGATACCACATGCTGGCCAGTTTCTGACTATATCTGAGAGACATATGGAGGCTGTATGGTACTGTTTAAGACTTCTTGACTTGTCCTCTCTATCATCATAAGTTGAAAACAAAAACCTTTTGTCCTTACTGACCTAATTCCATTAATAATATGATTTAAAGATTTAATTCAATGAGAGAGTAATTTTGTCAAAATTCTGTTTGATGTTACAGAAATCCAGCTTCGTTGGATAATGATGTGAACGATAAAGGACATACCTTGGGACCATCCTTACAGTTTGATAACTTCATGGCTGCTTGGAGTGGTGATAGCCACAGTAACAAAGGCCTTGTGGCACATGGAGCTAGAGTCACTTTCGAAGTGTATGCTGGTGAAAGAATCACCTCCTATTTGAATCTGGTAAACAAAGGCACAACTACTGTCTACTATGATTGGAAAGTAAGTAATCACAATATTTTTAGCGTTTGGAAATGTAACAGTTGTTGTCTTGTTTGAATATATTGCAGTGAAATGAATGGATTTATATGTACATGTATACATGGACATGAAAGTATCAAAATAACTTTTCAAGTTGCTTAATGCAATTATATACATGAATATCACCAAAAACAACCACCACCGATTCATATTCATGTCCAATACATTGCTTGCCATGTGAAAATGCCTGAACCAAGCAGACACTATAAATCGGATCTCTGTTACCATTCGGCATCCTCTTTTTTTCCATTGGGCTTCATGTTACTACCTAATCAGATGTTTCAGACCTTATTTCAAACACTGGGGCGGATTGCAATAAGCAGTCTTAAAGCTATCCATAGGCCTTTTCACACTGTCCAAATTCTCCGGGTTGGAAGCTGTTCCAACCCCGAGATTTTGTTCAACTCTTTTCCCACTTCTAAAATGACAACCTGGTTCTGACCCGGGTAGCATGCTCTAGCCGGATCCAAATCAACCCTGGCAGGGACCTGGTGTGCGCTCAGAAAGTGTTACAATGTAACAAAACTGTCCCACATGTGTATGTACATACACATAGCACAATAGCTTGTGATGCACAACTCGTAACTTTTTTCAAAGCCGTTATTCTCGAATTGAGGTCGCGGAAGTTTTGCGACGCACTACTGACTTTCTCACGGCATATCTTTGGAATTAATTGAGCTACAGACATAAAGTTGGTATAATTAGAAAGCTACAGTGTTGCTCTTTTACATGGTATATAAAATTTAAAAAGTCAAGGCTTAGGGTTATTCCTCATTATATGACAGGTCACATTTTGTTCGTAGTCTGAGGCTTTGAAATGTATATCATCTTCAATGCTAAGTTGATTTGATGACCTATTTAGTGAGCACTGTGTGCCTCTTCCACTCTTGAAAAAGGGATGTGCAAAATCATGACAAAAAGTATACACTTTTTACAATTAAATTCTTAATGCTGTCTTGTTTCTACAAACGTTATTTAAGCTTTTGTTCTACATGTATATCAAACATGTATATTAGTCCAGTGTCGAAAGACCAATTCTAAAAAAATCTGTGTTCACTTTGTTCAGTCATGCAGTGAATCCTGCACACGATTATGAGCTCGAATGCACTTGCCATAGATGATAGTAGCACCTTCAATGACGTCCCATTTAATAATACCGGCACAAAAATGATCTATTCTGTGAAAATGATTTTTAACATTTTGTTTTTATTCCTGGAAAGGATCATCAAAGGTCTCGTCTTTACTCTGTAGTCGTTTAAAGGAAATCTGTCAGTTCAACATGACCGTTTTTTGGCCAAATTTGTGAACATGATAAAAGTCAAAAGGGTTTATCTCAAACAGTACTATCATTGTATCACAGTCTGGTGCCTGGCAGAACAAGTTGGCCGTAATGTTGTTCATAACTATGAACTCATAACCATGTGGTAGGCATGTTCCAGAGTACATGTACGTACCATGGAAACAGGAGTGCAAATTTATGAATGGGTTTCTGCAATCCAATGTGACAACAATATGAATATCCAATCTGTACGTCCTGTACAAAAGGCAAAACCAGCAGCAAACATTGTCTACTTACGTTATGAACAAATCACCGTGTTCATTTACACATGTATTTACAGCGAATTGCTGAGCTGGAGTCTATGAACATGCTTGTATTCTGAGGAAAAAAGTTAGTGTCAGGCGTGGGCCGGCCAAATACCATACAGCCTCAATGAGCCAGTAAATTTTTCTTTGAAGCTGCACATCGCTTTGTGGATGAAGAAAAATGATATAGGTCCATTAGGCAATTGCCTGAACTGATCGCCAGATTTCTCTGCCATGGTTCACAAAGTGACGCTTTGCCACATTGCTTCTTCTTCGCCAACTAAGTTCTGCATAATTAGTTTAGTGTCTTACATGTACAATGTATGTTAATTTTCTAAAATCGTTAGCAGTTAAGGTAAAATATTAGGAATTCTGGGGTTTGGCATTACATTTGGATTGACGCATAAGTAAAATCATGATCACCATGCTAGCCTGTTATACGACTGTATGTATTGTACATTCATTGTTGACAAATGTAACGTGTGGTATTGTGACATATGTAATGTATGTGTATCGCAAGAATGGCAAATTCTTCTGACCCTTGGGCAACAACCTACTGGCCTCCCTGAATGTGACCTATCAAACCTGGTACTGGGTGAATCAAAAATGCGGAACCCAAACCCCTAAAATTATATTTCATATATAAAAAAAAAATACGTAGCACCAAAATAATTATGACTGGCAAGCCAATTTCATAAGCTACTTTTAGATGGAAAAAAACCCTGAAATTTCTCAATCAGTTCAAACAATATCTCCATTTAAACACAGTAACCCTATTGTTTGCCTAACCAGGGTTATTAATAAAGGAATTGTGTATTACAGATGTTGATAGTTGGTGAAACAAGTATTCTGTGTCATTTTCTTTGTTGTTCCAAACAATAAGAATACACAATAAATTGCTTTTTTGTGGACAAAAGAGGTTTAGGGTCATTGCGTTTAAATGGTGATATTCTTTGAACGGATTGGGCAATGTCAGTAATTTTATCATCTTAAGGTAGCTTATGAAGTTGTACATGAAGGCCTACAGTGCAGTGCATTTGTGTTGTGCATGGTCATCAAAAAACTGGCCCAATTTAGTGCCCTTGATTGTTTGCTACCGGTAGTTACGTATTTCAAAATGTCTGGGTCACAAGTAATCGACACAGTTTTTTCATTTGAGAAGAAAATCATTTTGGCCTTGCTTATAGGCCTATTCATTTCCAGTATTGATTAAAGCCATCCAATTATGAGCAAAAGCTGTCAATGTCACAATAGCATCATGTACAATGCATACCAAGCAGGTGACTGTTCACTGTGGGGAATCAAGGATAACAGTACGTGTGTTCGAAGCAAACATTTTGAGAACAAAAAGTTTGATTTTGAGGACCACATTTTGAACCCCGAAACAAAAACTCCAACTTTAATGGTTACTACTTCTGTGCAAGTTTATACAGTGATCTTTTATATCTGTATAATCAATTCAGCGTAAATATTTTTAGAGCCCAAAAAAGCACATTCTAGTCAGAATTGCTCCTTTAATCCACTTACCCTAGCACAGCATAGTATACTTCCTCCTGTGTTACTTCAGCCTGCCTATTGACCAAATATAAAGACTTGAAATACTTTACATGTACTTACAAGTTTTTTGTGCGCAGCCTATGGCCTAACACTTCCAGTATTGGAAGGAACTTTACTCATTTCTCATCTGACCCTTTCACAAACTTATATCGTCAGACAAGCACTGATTTTGTCGTGTGAATGTATTCTTCCACAGAAAATTCCCAAAATTAACCCATTCGAGGGATGTGCCTCTCCCAAAGTACAGCACTTTTACTTCAACACAAGCAGTGGAGTTCTGTTACCAGGTGAGAGCCTCAAGTTCCCGTTTGTCTTCAAGTCACCAAATGCTGGCATCTTTTCTGAGACATGGCAGTTGGACACAAGACCAGTTTTGTGCGGTGGTGCTGTTTTGCAAGTAACACTGCGTGGAATAGCTCTTCAGGAAGACAAAAATAAAAGACAGCGGTACCAAATTGAGGTAGAGTACATTGCTTATTCATCAGTATTTTTCATTTTGTGGAATTATTTATCTGTTTACGAATATAAGGTTGCTGGGTGAATCCTGGCACGGTTACACTTTTGCCACATCTAGGCAAGTATCGGTAACTCTCTCCCTATTGGTCACCCAGGCTCTAATGGTCACCCACTCTCTATTGCATGTATACCGTCGGCTTCACACTGCAAACGTGGCAATTGCCTGAACTTCCAAGATTTCTCCTCCCTGGTTCAGAGAGTGACACTTTACCACATTGCGGTCACGGGCGTCGCTACGTTGGGGGGGGGGGGGGTCCGCACCCCCCACTAGTAAGTTTTGTCACTAAAATTATGGTGCTGTTGGCAAAATAGAAAATGTAGAATGAAGGAGGGGGATGGAAGAGGGAAGGAGAAAAAAGAGTGAATGTACATAATAAACACTGCTGCTCAAAACCCTGCAAAGCAAATTTCATGATGGCACCCCCCCCCCTTCAAAATGGTATAGCGACGCCTGTGTTATTGTTATTATTAAACAAAAAGAATCAGGTAGAGTGGGAAAAGTGCAAGCACTATAAGTTGCTTTACACCAACCCCTGCACACCTGAAGCGTCAGTGAAGAAAACAAGTAACAAGACACAGCAATCATGATCGACTAAAAACGATGATGCAAGCCGGCACATACAGCTCGGGGACATGATCAGGCCTTGAATTTGGGAATTTTTAGGGCAAGGCCATTTTGGCCTTGAATGAAGCAAAATTATAGAGGGCACTAAGTGCAGTAGGAAGGGCACAAAGGCCAAATAATATCTGTCTTTATTTTTGTGTTGCGGTTTGTCGTTGTCATCGTCATTTTACCTCCAAATTCCCCTCAAAATTTAGAAACCCTTCCCTCTATCTATAAGCTACCTGCAAGTTCTTAATATGGATTAAAATGGATTTTGTTCTCTTAGGGAACCGGGCCCATAGTTAATACAATTTATATCTTTTGACAATCGGAACACCATGCATGCCGTGTGCGTGCGTGTTTTGACTATGCCCCGAGCTTGTTTGCCTCGTACACGAACATCAATGCATTGTGTACCGCGCGTGCAAGCACTGAGAAAAAGAAAGTCGGTTGACTGCACGTAAGATCTGGCGTACGTACTCCTGCTGGTATGTGTGTGTACGAATACAGACATATATTTTGGCGGCAGGGGTGTCGCTACTTGAAGTATTGGCACATACAGGAACTGGAGATTCAGTTGTCAGTGTGTACATCGCGTACATGATACGTACAGTGTATGGGGAATCGCCGGTATTTGGCCACGGCTATACTGCGCGCATGTGATTGATTCAGTGAGATTTTAAGATAACTGCATCAGACTGGCATGACATCGAAGTACATTGTCAAGGATTGCAGGGGTTTTAATCTAGAGGCTGATAGATGTTTTTGCAAAAAGGGCATGACGGCCAAGGTAAATATGGGGCAAGGCAAAGCTGGACGTGAAGACGGGAATTTTTTGGGGGCACCTCGGCCAGTAAGAAGGCAACGACGGCACTGGCCATCGTGGCCGTCGTTCAATTCAAGCCCTGCATGATTGTACAGTAGATGAAGCGAATTGGACCGTACCTTGTACAGCATGCATCAGGGGTGTAAGAACTCAGCTTTAAAGCTGATTTCAGCTTTTGTTATGTTTCGGATTGCAGCTTTTTTCCCTCACTTGCTGTGTACAAAAGTATGGGAGATTCCAAAGTTCAGCTTTTTTACACCTTTTTTCAACTGTTATTAGCTATTTTTATCAGCGGTCCCTCACACCCCTGATGCATACATAACAGACATTGTGTCCATGACCCAGATCACACAGCATTGCAGTCACAAATTAATCGAGCAGTATGGAGTACCCTGTCAATGAGACAGATATGAGATGATGCAGCAGATGACCAAACTGGAGCACATTTAATACTCAAGAAGTGGAGGGACGAAGCACTGGAAACAGCTAGCACAGATGGACACATCGTTGAATATTGTATAGGCCTTCCTCATCATCCCAAGTTTGCGAGAAGGGGAACTGACAAGAGATTGAATATGACACTCAAAGGTTAATTTCAGATCATACTTGACACCCAAGATTTTTAATTCATCGCAACCATTACATTGAGAATTGAACCGTCAAGGAGTAGATCACCGTGTGGTGGATCGTGAGATGCACAAGCTACTTGACTTCAATGTGTTCAACTTCATGTTCCACTTGTTGCACCATCTACACATGCTACAAAGATCATCATTTAATGGATTCGCAGACGGCATGATGCGACAGGTGAATCAACTATCGCATCAGAGTTACATCCTCAGTTGTACGTTTAATTCTTGAACAGGTCGATTGTGTAAATGTTGAACAACAAAGGTCCAAGAACACTTCCTTGAGGAACGCCTGAATGGACATTGTGTCAGTCACTGAAGCTGCCATCGACACATTCACGATGTGTCTGTCTCCTCAGAAATTGAGTCAACACTGACAGCACTGATACGCTGACCCCGACACTCCGTAACTTCCACAGTAATCCCTCATGATTGACTCGATCAAAGGCAGCCAACAGATCCAATTGGACAACCCTCAAATCATGACAATAATCAAGAGCTGACTGTACTTTGTAAGAGATTGTGAGGAGAGAAAATCTGTTGTACCAAGATTCTTGCGATAAGCAAACTGGTGGGATGTCAACAAACTCGATCATTCCAGAAAGCGGGAGAGACGAGTAGACACCAGGTGCTCAAAAACTTTGGAAAGTATTGGTGTGATGAATATTGGCCAATAGTTGGAGACGCTTGGTGAAGGAGACCCTTTATAGGGATTGGCAGGCGTGGGGTAAACCCCAACCCCCCAACCCCAGCTCTGTCAACAATTTTTTTTTCATAGAAATTACTTAAAAGTAAAGTAAAACTATTCTGGTAATAACGTCTGCCTTTGCACAAAATTCTGACAGAGGCAATTTTTTGTTTGTTTTGGTATTTGTACACTTTTCTGTAACATAATGTTAATAATCGTTGGATTTGAACAGCGCCCCATTGCAAGTATAGGATGAGCCCCCCAGCCCTTCCCACCCCCACCTTTTGATTTTTCGGAGGCCAAGAGTCCGGAGGAAAAAAAATGTCTACATTTCAGAATTTTTGGGTGATGAAACATCATCCCCTCTCCCTGCAAAAATTCCTGGATCCGCCCCTGATTGGAGTGATGTTAGCTACCCTCCAACACATCGGAAAAGATCCAGATGGCATGAGGCGTCTAAACACAGCACTCAGCTTGGGAGCAAGCACTCTGGAGGTTTCTTTGAGGAACAATGGAAACCGAAACATCCAAAGAGGATCAGTCCCGCCATTAGGATAAAGTGCATTCAGCAGCTTTTCCACTTCTCTGGATCTGAAGGCAACATTGGTGAATTTTGGCTCTACATCGACTTTGTCATCAAGCTGTATTTGTGTTCGGCAGAGCTTAGAGTCAAAGTGAGTCATCAAAAGATCAGCATTACCCTTTGGATTTGTCACAAGCTCCCCACCACCAAGAAGCAAGGGAGGAAGAGATGGGCTTTATCCAAACAAGCCGACTTCAATGTGGACCACCACTTGTGACGATCAGAATAGTTCGACATCTTTCTACGAATGGAACTAACGTGATCTCTCTGAGCATCGCGGTACGTTTTTCCACAAAAGACCTTGCGTGGATACATTTTTCACAAGACTCCCTGGAACTGGTGTCTCTGGCAGCTCTACATTCCTTTGAAAACCAGGCCTTATCTTGAAGGGGTAAGAGACTATTTTCATGGGATTGCTCTGAGAAATGATAGTCATAATTTGCTCATTGTCCTTTACATTATTTTGCTGCTCAGTGTCCATGACGACCCTTCCGCAGTTTCTGCCAATTGGGAAATCATCACTATTATCAGACCAGTGTAACCCCACCCCACGATCCTTTGTGGATGGGGGGGGGGGGGGGCTCACATTCATATTCGATTGGCTGTGTCCTTGGTAAAGTACATTAGTAAGTCTGTGTGGGAATGCCTTAATCCATCACTCTTTTGGCAAATGAGATATGCTACAGGCTCGCCACTCACCAGCCATCACCCAGTGGCAGTTCCCATATGCTGTCTTCTATCAGAGTGAAGCAGCTGTGCAACATTTTGATTGGACATCATTATGCCTCCTACTGGTTGCAAGGCTGTCACACTCCACCAGTCCTTGATGTTCCAATCATCCTTGGATTACACTGCTGCCCCCAACCACAGGCTGGCTAGCAGCAGTCAATGTATCCCAAATAACCGATGGGCCATTTGACCCATTTCCCTTGGTATTGGGTCTAGCTATCCTCTGACCGTTGATACTGCTAGTCAGATGTTGTTTCAGGGTTTTTGAAAAGGAGTACCACTCAGACAGTATTGCAGAGGCACAATTTCCCGTGCCTATTTCACCCTCGGTTCAGTTTGGTCTCTTGCCTGGTACCAAGTTTGCATCATGTACCCCAAATGAGGGTATTGTCCAGGAGGATACAGCAAAACAACGGTGGACTCTCACATGTACTGGCAGGGCAGGCCCATTCCCTGACCCCTGCTTCGCAAATTAGAATTTATCAAAGGACAAAACCATTAGTTTCTACATCCGCTCCTGTTTTTCAAAGTGCCCTTACTTTCCCTGATTTCCCCTCCTGAGTTTCAAGAAAAATCCAGGAAGTCCGGGTCAGAACTGTCGCTTGGCGAATATTGCCACATATAGCAGCTTTCCTGGTAATTATTTCTCTGTGATTTGGCTGCCCATGCACATGTCATTTGGGCCTGGTTTTATACCCCCAACTCACCCTTCATTTGTCATGGGTCCCTGCGCTGGTTTTTACACCAACTCGGGCCCCTTAGTGCCCCTCAGTATGGCTGCTCTCCTGGACATCTCCTTTGGTGACGACTTTCTTGCTTGACTTTCTTACTGCAGAGCCAGCTCAGCGTAACTTATAACCCAACGTTTCAATCCTTCAGAACCAGGTTGTGTATCTTGCACCCCATGGCTCTCCTCTCATGGAAAACAAGTCATCTGTGATTTCTGACCATTTTGATACCGAAATTCAAGCTTCTCTCATCCATTTCAGATGAGGAACTTAGGGTCTGTGGCTACCTAATGAGGCGGTGTCCGTCAGATTCTGTGGGAAGGTACTGTGGGAAATTAATCTTAGCAAATGAATAGCGCTCTTTAGGGGATATTGCGTTAAGTAATAATGCTGTATGGGTAAGTACTCGCTAGTAGGAGATATTGCTTTATAATAATGCTCTAAGTACCGGTAATAATGCTCTTTTAAGTAATAATAAGGTAAGTTGTTGCAGAAGCACCATGTGGCAAAATATCTTTTGTGAGTACATGTATGTATGGTTCTGAAAATAACCGGAGGGTACTCAACGTTTCGGACAGCATACTCTGGTCAGGAGACTGAGGGATTCCAACGGTAAAGTGGGTTTATGTGGTGCCTGGAAGCGATAAAACGTGAGAGGGATACAAACCAAGGGATGTGGGATGCAGGCAGTGAAGCGTGAGAAGGATGCAAACTGAGGGTGCTCAATGCAGGCCAAGGGGATGCTGGAAGATCAATGAGGCATGTCATTCTGAAGGAAGGGAGCGAAGGGGAAGGTTGCCAAGGGTATAGGTGACCCATAGGCTGGAGAAGTTGTCCTAGAGTATAGGAGACCCATTGGACTGGGAGGTGAGGATGGGGTGCCAGATGTCGCTGCATGATGGAGAAACCCATGTCTTGGGGAACCGTGTTGTGTTTGAAGATTTCGATGGCTTCTCTGATGCGGCGGGGGTACTAGCGTTCGGTGCTGGTGATGAGTTCTGACTAGTTCCAGTTGATCTGATAGTCTTCGGTGTGGGATTTCATATTAAATATTATTTTCCTCAGTAGGTGCATTACAATCTGTTTAAAGGTGGGTCAAAAATGTTGCCAAACAGCATCAAAACTATCCATCTGGTGTGTCACAACTCTGAGGGGGTGTATAGATTCCACCAAAGGATGACCCACTGTTGGACAATGACACACCATTCCTGGGGGTCATAGGGTGCGTCATACAATTGATAGGTGCACTGTTTATGTTAAACAAACACAGTCAGTGTCATGTAATTTTTGTAATGTTCATATTTTTATTTAAACTTTTAAGAATTGTGGACATTAGTGTATTGTCATAATTCATCCTGGCTGGCAATTGACTCAAAAATTGTACGCCCAGTGCACATGTTGCTATGTGTCCCCACTAGTTTGCATGTAGCCTTATATGCACTATGCAAAAACTGTTGATTAAATACGAATTGGAAATAATGTGGCCTTGGTGTCCATTCACTTGGTCTCGGTGCCCTTTGAATGTTTGACAACACTAAGGCTAATGTGGCCTGCCCCCTATTTTCTTAGTGTCAAGGCCTTATAGTTGATACAAATATTTGTCCATTCAACCATGAATCATGTTAGTTACCGTAATTTTCGGAATATAAGCCGCGGCTTATACGTTGAATTTGACCGTGAAAACGTTTACTGCTGCTTATACACAGGGCGGCTTATACACCGAGCCTTGAAGAATAAAAATGAGATTCAAATGTGTATTTAATGTACTGGTACAAAAAAAGATTCAATTAAGAAAGCCATTAACAAACCGAAAGCACGTCCCACGAAAATATACCAAGCGGTAAAAATGGCAGGCTGGCAGGCTGGCTGGCCATGCATGAGTGAAAGCTGTCTTTGACAACCAGCCGACTGTACCTGATACTGCTGCATGCCATGCTGCATGCATTCCCCATGGACCACACCATTTGTGGTAATAAAGGGGTGTACTTTCTTGGGAACAATAATTACCAATATGTTAGCTGTTTAAAAAAAGAAAAAAGAACAACTAATACTTTTTATGGAGTTCAAAACATTTATTCAATAATCAGTTGTTCAACGTCACAATATAATTTTTTTCTTGAAATGTATTCAAGAAACGATGTTAAACTCAAAACAGGGGGTAAATCACCCCTTACAAAATTAATGGATTCATCCATAAAAATGTCAGCATTGTGCTGACTGTTTTCAAAGAAAGTTACGATCGAAACTTGAAGTTTTGACGTTACTATTCGTTAGTGATCACAACAATTTGATAAGTTTTGTCGTAAAAGCGGACCTTTTTATTCTTAGGACAAACAAGTCAGCATCTGGTGCCACAAAGCAAGATTTGTAGCGCTGCAGTCAGACGACACATGGGTGGGTTGCATTCTCTCTCAAGTGCTGTGAGAAAATGTTGTCATTTGCGCCGGCGCAGGCTGCCGGGCCATGCTCTAACTTTTAGGCCGGGTACCGGACTGGCCAGCCGGCAGCAATTCCCGGTGTTGATTTCTCATCATCAATTTCCATATTTGTTTGTAAGAGTATCTACTGTAAATGATTTGATATAACTTTTGTGGCCCTTTTTATAGCTTTCATAGTGTAAATGGAACCTGTCAGAGCATTTTGACTAGAATTTGGAGGTCTTACAAAATTGAAACTGCTGCGGTCGGTGCGGCTTATACGCCGGTGCGGCTTATACGCCGACTTCAAATCTGAATTTGCAGATTTTTGCGTGCTGCGGCTTATACTCCGCACGGCTTAAATTCCGAAAATTACAGTAATAACTGTATGTTGTATTGACTTTCAGCAAGATCTGTTTACTAAGCAAGCAGTGTTGACAGCTCAACGCATCCTAGATGAGTTAATTGATGGGATACGTACACCAGAAAGACCATGTTCACCAGTGGATGCTTACATAACTCAAGAGGAGTTATTCCAGCAACACAACAAAGGAGTAAGTCTATTTTAATTTATTGCAAGATTAACATTGAGTTATTTTGATATTTGATTTGAAAAAGTTTGCAAAGCAATCAAGAACCTTTCCAACATTTGAAGAAAAAAATGATTAAATAAAAAAGTACATTACCTGGTGTCTTTTCACCTGCTGTTTTTTAATAAGCTGTTTACCTTAATTATATGGTCATCTAGATTCACTTTCTGTGTGTTGCTTATAAACAGGCTAAAAAGGGGCTGTCCTGTGCTGTTATGGGCATTACAGCTACTTCCGGCTGCTTTGGCCACAAAAGTAGCCGCTACATTTAAGATAGTGTTTTGTAGTCGACATTTTTATATTTACAAATTACAGTCGAGCCCAATTATTACGAGCACGGTTGGGACAAGAACACAGTTACCACAAGCATATTTCATCAGTCCCGACCAAAATGTTTTTATTTCTATTGGAGAAAATTGGCTTAATAAGAGCTGTGTTAGCAAGAAAACACGGATATAGTCCGAGCATTTTTATTAGCCCTGTTGTGTAAAAAAACGTCGTTATCAATGTCTTTACAACAAATACAATTTGAAAGCTCCTGTTTCAGTTACCCAATCCCTGTAAATCCTGAAGAAAGGTGCCAATAATTATCGTGCTAAGGCTAATCTGCTCTTTAATCTGCGCTGCAGTTTTAAGAACGCCTGGTAAGCCCTAGCTGTGTGTGGCGTCCTGCTGGCAGAGCTTTTACAGCGAGTGTTGTGCATGCAGATTTTGTACCGCCAGAGGGACTTTCATTACAATGAAATGAAATGAAGCCAATAGAAGGGTTTTTAGTGCAAACTAACAACGGGTAAACCTGGCTTTCGTTTGAACAGAATGCTACCCAAGGTTTGGTGCAATTAAACAATTGAACAAAACGATCCCACTGCCTCTGACTTAATTTCTTTTGTAACAGCAAGTCCGAGTTTTTTTTCCTAATGGGGCGCAGTACAATCATGGGCGCAGTAAAATCAAGTCAACTATCCAAGTTCAAGTTCAAAATTAAAGCTTAAAAGTTAAATACATTCAAAGCTACATACTGAAAATTAACCAGATTTACAAAAAAAATGACCAACGAGCAAAGTAACTAACCCACTAACTGATCAGCCGGCAAGATAAGTCTTAAGACATGATTTACAAACAGTCAGGGAATTTAATTCCTGTAAGTTGGTAACTTGTTCCATAGTAGACTTGACTTTAAGTTGATATCTTAAAACAAACAATGAAACAAATCACAAAAATCCCTTACTTTACATCCGCACGACAAGGTACACTTCAGCATGCATTCCACTTCAGTGCCGTAACAATGCGAGCACACTGTAAGTACATTGTACAACATGCATATTGTACTGATTATACACGTGCATACATGTACAGACCATGTGTATACATGTGGTGCAAAAGTTAGCAATTCTGACTTGATCAATCGATACATATCGGTATGCAACATCTTCACTATGCATATGCAGCAACATCCCTTGACCTATCAAAGTAACCAATTTTTGAAGACGTGTTGTTATGATCCCAAAACAAAAGAGTAAACCCAACCCGAAATTCACTCCCCAGAAAAGGAACCAAAACAAAGTGGACATGAATAAAGCAAAGGCAAACCAGTTCACACCTTAATATGTAATATTATTACTTCAACAAAATCAATACAAAACACTTTACACACAAATTCAGTTTAAGAAAATAACAATATACCATGATAGATTACCAGAGTGTGAGTGGCAGGGTGAGCATGTGCGACTAACAAAAAGTTCATAGTTCTTGTCTTGGTGGGTGTTCTATGGTGACTCCGGCGATGAGCAGCAGGAGAAGGGTCCTCCCGTTAGGCAGTTAGTACGGTCAGCATACGCCGTACTCGTGAGTTCACACACATTGGATCAGTACCTCCGTGAAGTGACGTCATGGTCCAGAAACTCAGACCGAAGTCTCTTGTCTGACGAAGTCGCCAAATAGTCCGTGGGACGAGAGGCCAAAAACGCTTTAGTTTTCGAGATACGCGATCTGGTCCCCCGAAATTTATAAAACTTAAATGTAGATTATGATGTACCATATCTAAAAAACTTTGTTCCCCGATCCACAGTTTGTTTAATGAGAAAATCTGGGATAAAAACGCCTAAAATTTTGCATGAGAAAAAAAACATAAGAAACAGCGCCCTCTATTGGCACAGTCAGAAACCTTTTGTCACGCAATGAGCGCTTGCCAGATAATACTTCTTTCAAGTTCCATTTGTAGATCATTACAGATCAAATTCGTCTATTAAGCTGTTGCCGAATGGCAGCATTCAGAAATCGAATTTGTTGTATATAAATCAATTAGACGAATTTCTTTGCTAATAAGGTTGGTGTAGACTAGACGAAAACGTGTACTTGTTGTTTGAATCGCTTGAACTGAATTTTTTAAATTGTCACACAAAAGATGAAATTAAACATCAGAAGTGCACTAAGTCGATGGTGATGGACGAATATGAATATTAGAAATGGTGAATTCGAATGATAAACATTTTAAAATAGCCGGGAAAACCTATATAATCTAATTTAATCCATTTATTAAATTTTTTTGGGGGGGGAATTTAAACCTGCACAGTTGTTACTCACACAAGAAGAATGGTATTTTGATTACATGGTTTGTTCAATCTGTACTGAAAGAGCATTACTTGTTAATTTTCAACTAACCAAACAAGATTATGAGCACATGTACACATTATAGGCCGATTAGATGAGTTGTTGTATAACATATCAAAAGTCTCATCAAATTGAAGGACCCACTTTTTTGTTTGCAAACTTTTTTAAGAAGAGAAAATTAATGTATATTCCCCTGTTTGGAAGCTGTGAGTGGCAGCAGAACTGCAATTTGTTTCAGCTGAAACCGTTTTACCAATTTTATTATTTTGAATATTGTTTTAAAAACTGATTCATTTTTTGTTGTTGCTCCATCCATTCTGTGAAACCACAAATCACCCAATGGCCCACCTGCTTCATTTTTTGAGGCTGCATCAGATTTGTATTACTTTTTAAAATTTCAGGAATAACACTTTTTAAAGATGTTTCAGAAGATCAGATGCTCCACCAGATGCCACGCACTTATATTATTTTTGAAAACATGTTACCCTGAGATAAGAGTTCAAAAAATTATTCTGATCTGTGGTTTAACCATACCAATCGATGTTCAGCTAATACATAACAATGTTAACGTACATGGCCTGATCTTAAATTTAAAACGTGATCATTTCATGTTGAACAAAACTGTAACGAAGATATTTTGGTATCCCGATGAGAAATAACAAAAATCTAGAAATATAATATGAAAGAAGTGTCATCTAGCAAGCACTCATTGGCCGAGTTTGGGCGGGTCTTGTTCTTGACACGGGTATATCATTATTGCAAACATCGACGGATAGGTGTGTGAGATCCTGTTCCGAGTGCAGTGTTCGTGGGTCATGTTCCCACTGTTCGAGCGCGAGAACAATAATAAATATTTGCGTCAACAGACTGCCGGAACTCGGAGTCGGACAGCCATTGCGTGAGAAAAAGGTTTCTGACTGTGTCAATAGGGGGCGCTGTTTCTTATGTTTTTCTCATGTAGAATTTTTACCGTTTTTATCCCAGATTTTCTCATTCCCGAACAAACTGTGGATCGGGGAACAAAGTTTTATAAAATTCGGCAAACCAGACCGCGTGGCGAGTGAAAAAAAGGCCTCGTCCCACGGACTAAAACCAAACCAGGCAGCACCTTATGTGGTGCAAACTCCAACATGCTTGAAGCTCCAATCTGCAGTCCAGTCGACGAGCGACACAGGGGAGATCATCAGACAGCAGACTCCCGGTCTTGGTCTTCAGGCATGTGCCCTGGGAAAAACTCCCCAACAGCCGGCATTGGGCACAGTCGTGAAACTCACGGTCCTCTCCGTCCGATGGTATGGGATGAAAGGCACACCCCAAAGTTCGACGATCCACTTTATACGGGGACGAACATTCCAGGCACACCCAATGCATGCCGTAAATTCTGACTTCTCGCTCTCCAAGTTTGACAATTGTTCATGCTCGCCCCAATTGGGTTAATCTGCTCGCCCCTTTGCATAGTTTAAACTGTTTAAGACATGTTCTAGTCACTATTTTGTTTAACAAGAAAACAAATATTATGTAATACAGTTTTAAATGCCACCAAATAAATAATACATTACTACAACTCTGGAATAAAATCATAACAGTGTTCATTATTTTCAGTAGGTATGGAAGGCTGGATAACATTTGTAGATTTGAAACACATTCTGGTGATAATCCTCAGACATATGGGTTGCCTTACCCCATTCCTGGCTTTGTTGTAAAGCCTCTGTTTTCTCCTAATGTCTCTTTTGACAGAGCTGTTCACCCAAGGAAAGGAGAAGCGTCTAGAGCTCAGCTTCGATAGTGTAATTCTATCTATATAGCTGAAAAGAGCTTCTTTTAAACTATCAAACAAGCTGTCAATGGTACTTGCGTCCAGTATGTCTGGAGTGACAGAACTGTTGAAGTTGGTTAAGATCAGCTGTTCTCGGATTGATACTAAAATGAACACAGTATTCAAATGGTGTTCAAAACAAAAGGGAATTTTTGGATATGGTTGTGGTTAACCAAGATGTTGAGATCCATTGATATCACCACGTGTTGTGGGTAGAAGCCAATCACAGCGAAAATTAATCTCCAAAGACTGTATAAACTTGGAGCAAACGAGCGACTGACCAAGTCTGGGTTGCTGCATCACTTGAAAATAACATGTACATGTACATTATTAACATGATGGGCGGGATTCGACGCATGAGGGCTCGTGTTATACTGTACGGACATACGTATGTATGGGCTATGCGTGGATTTACTATAGGCACAGACCGAGCGCAACCCAGACTTGGCCCAAGTCTAGTTCCATAGCTGTGGTACCATCTTGCAGATGTCGATCACAGGGACGCACGGTGAACACGTAAGGAAATCACATTTTCTACCCCCAAAAAATGGTCAACATTACAAAAAATGAGGTCATTAGAATTAAGAGAAGTGTGATTTTGGTTGAAAAAAGTTGTTTTGGATTGATCAAAACACATCTATAATTTGATCAAAACTAAAGAGAGGCCTACACTTCCCAATTGCTGGCAGGATCTTTATCACTTCATGTCAAGCACATACGATTGAAACCAGTCCCACGTGCTAAACGTGACGGCTAAGTTGCCTCTTTTCCTGCCTTAAAGGAAACATGCAGCGGAAATTCAGCTCACCTTGTTTTCATGCACATAACTGTGTTGCAACAATACAAATGTACATACAAGATTTTAATACTTGTTTTAATTGAAGTGACAAGAAAGTGGTAATTTTTCAATTATTTGCAAATCCTGTCATCAAATGTAAGAGGGCGCTATGTCAAATATTGCATGTGAACAGTACAAAAACTAGTCCTTCAAAACTTACCCCCAAAAAAAAGTTTTGAAGAAATATTTGCCACTACTATTGTCCCAACAAGATGTTTAACATGATAAACAAGTAAAAAGTGGAACTCCAAGAAAATGAAGAAAGTTTGATATATATTTGTACACAAAGCTATGGAGACACTACTGTTCTGCCTTGAATGACATCACGCTTTGGCTCGTGAATGTGGAAATTTTCATTAGCATAAAAACTAAAATGTTGTACAATACATGTACTTCTGTGCAGAAGTGGGTAGCAGTATGGTGGACGTGCTTGATTGTGTCTGGAGTCAATCTCGGCTACCCACTCTGTCCAGTTTGGTGGTGTTTTGTTTGTTTTCCTTATTTTATCACTTCTCTTTCATCGTTATTTTATTTATTACACATTACAATTCATAATACATTTACAAACATTTAATAATTTGCAACAAACATTGTAAAAGGCTTGAAGCTGTATACCAATAACGTACATGTGTTCATACAAAAACAATAAACACACATACACGGCGTGCGGATAACTTGTGCTCCGTGCATAAATGGGAAAATCATTCGATGCATAATACGAGGTATGGGATAAAACAACGGTTTTTTTTATAGTCCTCTTGAGCTGTAATTAACAGTGTTTGACTATAGACTTGTTTACTGTTATTCAGTGTTTCAATTGAAAACACTTAACTGTAATACAGTTATGCGCCCCTCGGGTGTTCAAAACGTCATATCCCACATCACCGCAGTCAACAATTGTTTTATTATACCTCTGTCTTGGATTCGTTAGATTGTGAAGTAAAAATCAGGAAAACAAACGGCAGAAAACAAACAGCAGGAGTGCATGTTGTGTGCTCGAAGCAGCTGATCGTCTGCTAGTTCGCTGCTCCCACTCGTGTGTGAAAATATGGTGAAAATAGTGTGGGTACCAACGATACCAGCATTTCACACCCTACGCACCGTACGTACAGAGTCATATAGCACACTCCCTGTGGGATATCACGTACGCGATGACCCACAGGGAGTGTGCCATGACTTTTGTAAACTTAACTTCTAGGCCAATGAAAATACAGTTTTCAAGACAGAGGTACCGGTATAACAACATAAACTAGCTGATTTGTCAAATGAGTGAGTATTGAGTGAGTATTCAATACACTGTAGTCTATGAATGAACATGATTTGAAACTGTCACACAGCACACGACAGAAAAGCTTGTACCAGTATTTCATAAAATGGTGTCAAAATGTGCATATAGCCACAAATTTTCACTGCAGCATGGATTTTAGGTTTCATTGCTTTATGTACAATGTAGGCCCTATATGTAGGCAAAGAATAATACCATTATGTATTACCATTACTAAAATCCCCCAATTTATTAAATTTTTACTATAGATGCACTATTCAAATGAAATAGTAAACCAGTTAAGTCAACTCTACCTGGAGCAGTTTGATGACGATGACAAAGAAAATCATTCCTGGGATCTGTCTATTCATAGTATGAAACAGGTAGGAATTCTGATCATAACAATAAAAATAATAGTACAGTAGAGCATTGCTACAATGAAAACTGCAGTACCGAACATTTAGTTATAATGAACATTACCCTTTGGTTCCCAAATTTTGTGTCTGAATTGTTCGGAAAATGCATTCATATTGTCCATTTGTATCACCAAGAACACTTCTCAGTTGCATTCAATTGTTAGACAATAAAAATGTTGTGAGAAGTTCATTTGTGAGGTTTTGATGCTCAAGTTCATAACGATAGAGCACTGCGATTTTTGGAAAGGCTGCTGCTGGTGGGTGCACTAGGCGTAGGTGGTCTACGCACATTTGGACCTATTTGCTACTCAGTGTGTTGGTCAATATCACTATACATGTGCATGGCTTCATTTACAGTCAGTTTATGAAATTTAATGAAAAACTGTTTGATAAGACACATGCTGATTTATTGTTATGTTTGTCAATAGAGCAGACACTTTAGGTAAGAACAGTATAAAATCTAAGTAAAAATGGTGATTTTTGACAAATACACATTACAATAAATAAAAATAAGGAAATTTTGCAAAAAATTCTGTTCACTTCATGTCTCGCTGGTCAAAGCGAGTTATGATGGAAGTACATGTATTGTACACGTATGTGTACATGTACATCAAACTTGATTGTAGAAAAATTGGGAACCTTGCTTATTAAACTCAAACTCCGGATACCTCAAATTTAGTATCCATTCCCCTGAGCTTATAGTTATTTGGATTTTTCTTTACATGGCATTAATCATAAACATCTATCTTAATGTTTGTTATTAATTTTAATTCTTTGATTTAAACTCTGAGTAAATTTGATTGTTTATAGGACTTTTTGGCTCTTGAAGATGAGACCAAAAGGGAAGATCTGTTAACCAAGATGAATGCTGCTGTGACTTGTCTGTATTTCCCGCCACTTAGCCCCATTCAGCAAGAGATGTACAGGGTTGGGTAAGCTCACATTTTTACATCTTAGAAGTATACAGATGCCCAGCATTGTGAATACATCACATGGAAACATTTGCCAGCTTCTGTCTCATAAAAGTTTTTTGACCTTGTGTGTGTTGGCTGCACACAGGTCACGGTTGCCTGGACAACCCTCACTGTAGGGTGATACCTCTGTCCAGTATGGGTGAATAAACCATGCGGGGGAGGGGGGGGCCCTGGCAAGAAGAGCCTCAATCTGGCAACTTTACACAATAAATATATCCGGTTCAGTGATTCCCATGTATACACAGGAATCACCGAATCCCAAAACGGGAATCACTGAACCGGCTATATTTATTGTGAAAAGTTGCAAGAACGAGGCTCTGCATGCCTATGGCGGAGTGTGCAAAGAGCGAATGCGACCCCTTTCTGACCATGGAGAACAGCCGGAGATCAAAAGTGTTGGGTAGTTTTTTTTCAGAGAGCCCGGAAAAAAACGTTGTGAATCAGTGAACAACTCTACTCGCATGTGGTCCAAGCCGAGAATTGAACCTGGGCCACATTGGCAAGGGGCAAGTGCTTTACGTACTAGCCACCCATGCCACTTTATGTAGATTTAGATTTTCGGAATAAATGTTCGTTTTGGAGGTATCAAACACTCTGTTTAAGACCGGTTGGAGTCTGGCTGCTGATAATTACCCCGAGCCAAAGTTGAGGAAAAAAAAATAACAGTTCTGCTTCCAGTTAGGCCAAAAATAAAAGTCTCTGGTTTCTCATCTGCGCGTGCATCGCTGTAGCCATGCGCGTCGGCAAAATTAAAATGTTTCTTTTTTTTAATGTAAGATGATGTCTCAAAACTGCCAAACTCACTAGTTTGACTGGAATCCTGCTGCTGCACAATTTTAACATGCTTTTAGATGGGGTTACGATCGAGTATTAGCTTTATGTGGCCTTTCTCGGCTCCCATATGTATTGCACTAAATTTAGTCGGGCACCATTTGCAGACTGTGTTGTAATCTTGTAATTCTGCGTCTGGAAGCCAGTCTGAGGGAGCGATGGTAGTGTACCTGGAACCTGTAAACGCTTTCTACTCAGCACAATATATAAGGGTGCAGCCTGGCAGCACGTGCCTGATGTCGACAAGGGCGTCAATTGCTTCTCAAAAGTTAAGGGGGGGGGGACATGCCTTGCCGAACACTAAAAGTGCAAAGCTCAGTAAAGCAATTATTCCCGATGCTCACATCTAAATTAGATTCATCAGAAATAGTCAGGATCTTTTGGTCTGGGAACCAGACTAGATTGCCTCATTCAATTTTTTTCACTTTTCACTTAAGTTGACACTTCTTGCAAACTGCAGTGCTAGGCTGGAAATCGATGCCAAATTACCAATGCGTGATTTTTTGAGTGCCGACTCACACAAAGGATTTTGTTACGCTTTTTATAGAAAGGGGACCGAGAGGGTCCTTACTTCAAGGGTTACTGGAAGTGAAATGATAACTGAATTTAACTCAAACACAGAGCCTTTTAATAAACAAATACATTAAGTAATGGATGTAAAACAAAAAGGCATGTTCATATCAGCATTCAAAATGGAACTCTTTATTGGTACATGAAAGAAAGTTGATCTATTCATTTGAGAACAATTCTTCATAATAATGCTCGGAACTCTCACTTCTTTAGAACAGTACCAAATTAATTCACAAAGTTTTTAATTTGAATCAAATTTTCCTTTTGCTGTCTTTTGTCAAATGATAAAATTAGGGCTGTCCCGAATATACCGAACATTCAAATATTCGATCATCAACCAAATGTTCATAATTAAATGAAAACTACGCATGTACGCAGCCCTGCTAGTACGCACACGAATGTTGTGTTATTTTCATCGTAATGTTGCAAAAGTGAAGTACATGCCAATGTTCACCATCAACCAGTGATGCCACATGTGGCAGTCATGCCACATATGGCATCACTGTGTTTCAGTGTTTCCATGTTGTACTAACCATATCATTTTCTCCTTTTCTTCCTTTTCTATGAATAACACCGTTTGTACTTCCACCAGCTGAGAAGTGAGAAGGCGCTACACTATTTTACCATCACGCTGACTACCCTTTTTTTCTCCCTGTCTTGATTTTCCCCTACAGGTTTGCAATTGTCGCTCCTGTTTAGGTACCTTTTCGAAATATCTTCAAAGGAGATGGAATCAAGCTCTGCACAGTGCCTCTATTAAACTCATCAATATCCTCTCTCAACAGTGTCAAATTGCACTTCAGGACCTCCATTAGCAGGCACAGATCCAGGGGTGGGCCGCAGAGGGAAGGGGGGGGGGCAACCTTCTTAAAAAATACAGGCGCCGATATTAAGCATCAGCCCGCAAACATTGCGTTCTGGCACAGCGAGCTCGAGAAACTTTGAAATAAACCGCGATCCCAACATACGTACCCCATACGTAATAACACTTCAAAACCGTTGTTACTATGTACGTACATTGTACGTTGTACATTGAAAAGCACGTGCAGCTTATGTGTGTAGCTAGCTCGACATACACGTTGTACGCTGCTCTTTGGACCACACCATTGGTCAAGGGGTGTGTTTTCGCAAGAACAATTTGCCACTATTTCCACGCGCTTTTATTATACTTTTTACGGAGTCCAAAAAAGTGTTCTGTTTTTTAAATGACTTCTTCAACCTCACCATATATATGTCGTAAAGACTTTATTTGAGAAACGATGCAAACCCATAAACAAAATTGAAACACTCCTGAAGATAAACATGGATCCATTTATAAAACATCTTTTTTTACGAAGAAAGTTGTGATCCAAAAGTTGGGTTTTGATGTTAATTATGCGTTGCTGAAAATACAAATCTGATAAGTTTGGTACTTTAAAGGGATCTGTTTGTTTTTAAAGACAAAAGCAATCAGTAGTTATTGCCAAAAGGCAAGTTTTAGCACTCGAGACATGTTCTGGCAAGCTAGATGGAACACGGTGTGTTGCTTTCTCAAGTGCAAGCGAGGAAAATTTGAGCGTATTTCGCCGCTGGCAGCACGGGCCGGTGACTGTGCCGGGGGCCGGGATAGGTACACCAATTCCCGATGTCTATTATTTTCTCAACGTCATCATCTACAATAGTTATTTTATACAATTTGTCATGCTGTGCGCGCCGCTGATCTGCCGATGGTTTATTTACAAATACATACCGGAAGGCACTAGAAATTGAAACTGGACTGAATTAAAACTAATAACATTTCTGTAAAATGTTTACGCAAAAATATAAAAAGGGGAGTGAGAAACTTGGAGGACTTAGAGTTACTGCGAGTAAGGACTCAGTCTGTCTGAGCAGGGAGAAAATGTGAATGAAGTGCCTCTGGACTGTTGAACCACATGGTCTCAACATCCAACAAGGCATCGATTAATATTTCCATTTTTTTCCTCAAATGTCATTTGTTTCAGATTATCTTGCCTGACCCTCTTGGGGTTTTACACCTCCCCTTTCAATTTCACCCTTTTCCTCATCCACATGTTTCGCCCTCATGCCTCCCTCCTCTCCTCCCCCATTCACATGTACACCACATTCATTACTACCGTGACGTCCCACCCCTCGGGTGGAAGTGATGCAGCAAGGGCGCCCTCTCAACATGGGGGATGGCACGTACCGGAAAGTCCCTGAGCGGCTAGAGATGAGTCCGTTGGGATGGAAATATACCGTCCCAGTATTGGCAGCGTACTGGGTCGTGGTGGGATTCTATTGGACTTATGATCTGTAACCAAGGAATTATTTATGAAGACCAGGAACACCAATCAACCAGCCGAGTGACACAGAATATGCATGTAGGACAACACTTGATAATGGTTTATTTAAAGTGCAATCAACCCAACTCTTAGCAATCAACATTATAAGGCGGTCCAATAAATAATATAGTGCAATAAACAACGAAAGACAACCTTGGACTAAATGAATTATTAATGACGATAGAGGGCACTTTTCAACGAGAGACTATGAACCAAGACAAATTTATCAGCGTATTTTCCTATGCACGCACTATTATTCAAGAGCTGGTAACAAGTCTAGGCCCCAGTACCCTGGACCCCACTCAACTACTGCTGTGTGGGTTCCGGCAACAAGCCCCAGATTATCTCGCACTACCGAACCACATGGTAGTAGCCCTTCGATGTCTGTCCTTGCTGCAATTTCTGTGAACTGATGGTTGTGAAGTCTACGAGCCCGTGCTGGTTTGGGGACTTTGGATGATGGGTTTATGTGAACTGTGTTATGTATTATTTTGTAGAAGTAGGTAAGTTGGTTAACTTTCCTGCTCTCTTCCAGTGAAGACCAGCCTATAGGGTTGTCAACATGTCGGTCACACTGCTCAGTCTGGAATAATCTCTCATTACAAAAAGCGAGCAGCTCTCCGTTGCACTTTTTCCAAGGATGTTATGTTCTTAGCTTTGAGAGGGTTCCAGGAAATGCTACCATATTCTAGGTGTGCACACGCGTGTGGTCTGAGTAGTGCTAAGTACAGCTTTTCTTTGACTGATCTGGATGCCGAATGAACATTTCTTTTGATGCAGTGTCAATATACAACTTGCTTTGGAAGTGACATGTTCTGTTTGAGGATTCCAACTTAGCCTAGGTTTATTATTCTGAATGATTATACCCAAATATGTGATATTGGTTTTCTCTACGAGGTTGGGTCCTAACGTGGTGCAGTTAGTTTTGCCAGGAGCCAGCTTCCTGGAGATTCACATGATGTTACATTTGCTGAGTTAAATTTCATTCCCCAGGTTTTCGCCCAGTTGGCCAAGTTGTCCAGGTCTTTTTGGAACATTAATTTATCAGTTGATGAGCAGATCTTCCGATATAACAGGCAGTCGTCGGCGAAAAGACGAGTTGTGCCAGTCACTGATTTGCTAATGTGGTAAGCCAATGTCGACACTTTGCCATTTTGAAGATTTACCATTTACCACAACTCTTTGTGACCTGTTGGTTAAGAATTCCTTGATCCATCTCTGTGTTTCCGTTTATCC